TTTAAGAATAAATTAGTGTGTATCCTTCATGAGAGTCAGTTTACTGGTGTTTGTATCATAACTGTAGTATTTCAGAAAATAAAGCTTTTAAAATTTTAAAGGAAATAATCTATGTGGGTAGCTTGGGATTTAAATAATCCTTGGAGTTTAATAAGCCCTCAATTAATGATAATTTTTGTATTAAGCATTCTGTGACTAAACAAATCTTTAACTCAAACGAATGATGGGAAAGATTGCTTTTTAAATGTGCTTACATAATATATTAGCATTTATTAAGCTTTATATTAAACAGCAAAGGAAATTTGTTTTCTATTTCAGTTTGTCACAAAGTTCAAAATGTTTATTAATATGGAAGCAAAAGTTTATTCATTCAGACATGAAATCATACCCAAAGAGAGAGCAGCTGAGTGTATCTGAAACCATCCTGTATCACATATTAATGTACCTAACTGCTATATGACTATCTCCATGTTAATGCCTGCCATAGAAAGTCACATTTTCCTGTAGAAACAACTTGAACACGATGTGATTAACCTTCAAGGTTCCCCCTCCGCTCATCGCAAAGCCCACCTCATGCATGCCCTATGCTTCCTACTCATGTTCACCCATCTAATTTCCATATCGCCCACTCACTCTCCCCAGCAGACATTAGCATAACAGAGCTGTAGCATGACTTTGATTGAAGCCAGCTTGGGCTGAATGCAGTATCAAAGCATAATTTAGCAGAAATCAAATCTAATTTACTGTGCATTGTATTTAAATTCTCAAAACACTGTTTCAAGTGAACTGTCCCAGACCTCTGATCTTAATTGACCTTTTTATATTCGAGTCTTATTTCTCTGGAAAGCACACAACATGTTTTTCTTATGGAGCTATTTTTTTTTAACTTGGAAGTGTTTATTAAATGCTGAGTTGTGCCACTCTGTTTGTCTCATTTCATTTCTTCTTACAGCTGAAGCAATAAGGTATAATCACTTGACAGATTAAGCAAGTATGTTATTACATCGTAGTTACAAGAAATTTATCTAATGTTTGCAGGTTTTAGAGAGGACATGAATGTATATTTTATAGTCCTCTGTCTTACAAACTTATGAGAGAATTGCCATTTCTATAACTAACATTTCTTCTGCAGTTTATAACTCAATCACTTTAATTCACATTGGACTTAAATGTGTGTTTTGAATTATCATCTTGAGGACCTAATTGTGTTTTTCTTATATTAAATGACAGCTATTGTAGAAAATCAATTTTATGTATAGCACACTTTGCGCTATTGTGTTGTGTTCATATAACGCCACCTTCATCTCCTCCCTCCCATTGGTGCCATCAGCCAAGTGTTGCCTTTTGAAACCATTTTCCCTGTAACCTGGCAGAAATACTGAAATTGTGGAGTGTTCACAGAAGAATTATTGATGCAGTGCTTCATTTTAAAACCTCAAAAATAAATTTCTTTAGCTGATATCCCTTCCCAGAAGATTGCAGTATAGATCTTGGGCAGAGAAAGCAAGTCTACAAAAGTAAAAGTGATTGTTGCCTTTTGTTTTGTTAGCCTGACATCAGGTGACAAAAGAACATACATTTTCAGAGACTCAAATGCTCTTTAAATATTTTGGCTTTGTAAAATGTTTCATTCAGAATTTTTAGTTTTTATTTCAATTTTAAAAATAAGATAATTCCAGTTCCATTGAAATCCATGAGATTTAAGTTCTAGTGACAAGATATTGGATACACTAGAAATATAACATATTTATAATAACTTAAAATAAAAATACAACACAACTAAATATTACATGAAAATATATGCTTTTGAAATTCATAACACAAAAGCTGATAGCTTTTTGTTAGTAGCCTTTAAAAAATTAAAAATAGATAAAAGTTCAAGAAAATTATGATTTCTTGGCTTTTTAAAGATTATATCATCAGTGGTACGTATTAGTTATGTTTTTTCAGAACTTTTTCATCGTTTAAGAGTTCCAATGAGATGTTTTCTTTAGGTACTATTACAAATAACAATTCCCAGTTGAACTTTCTGTCCCAACTTGCCAGGGCTTTCTAGTCCTTTGCTTTTGTCTTTCCAATCACTGTCTTCATTGCTTGCAGAGCATTTTTTCTGAAGCACAAATCTGATGAAATTTGTTTTCCAAAAACATCTTTGAATAGATCTGAATAGGTTTCAGGACAAAAATCTAAACTCCTTGAACATAAATTATCTGGACCTAAATTTATGAGCTCTGTATACCAGATTCCTTTTTTCTTAAAATCCTTTGTCTCTTCCCTAGGTGCTGTTTCTTCCTTGCCAGGTGACCTTACTCTTCTTCATCTAGTGAACTCTGATTTGTGGTTCAAAATATAGCTCAAATGTAGGCCACTTCTGGCATTTATTCTTCTTTCTTCATCTCATGGCTTAATAAGCTTCTATTCAGTATCTTCTGCATTTTCCTATTATTATATAAATTATACTGTACTATATGTATTTGTGTATTTACTTAGAAGTCTGTGCCATAGAACAAGGATCACTGTTTATTTAGCTTCCCATCCCTTGTACCATGCAGGATGTCTCATATTGAGTAGTCAATATGTTTTGAATTAATAATAGATGCATCATCTCTTCTCAGAAATGTGGACACATAGATATGTTCAATTGCCAGTTTTTATTTAGGAGAGCATATTATGTCAACTTTTTAAAAATAGTAGGATGTAAATTTCAAAAACATTTTGCAGAATCACTGGCCTAAAGATATTTTCAAAAGTTTGAAAATTAATTTAAGAGAGTATAAATTTTCTGTCATAGGTAGATGTAGAATATTCATTGTTTTCATTTTTGTCCCATTTGATGATTTCAATCATACAGAGGTAAAGAATTTTACACTGATTGCTAAGTAGTAATATATTATGATGAAGGTACACATGACAGATACCAACCTTATTTTAGAGACCAGCCTTAAGACTTTCTTGGGGGTACCTGGTGGTTTCACATCTCTAATGAACAATAGATACTGTGTGTTTTCAGTTTGTCCTAAAGTAATTTCTTAACATTGATATAAAATATCATTCCTATTAAAAAACCCGAAACAAAATAAATGTATCTGCTGATTCAGTAGAATTATTTAGAAATAGCAAGGTTGTAAGAAGGATGTAATCTGAAAACACAGGGCAACATAAACCACACTATGGTCAAATAGATCCATAAATCTGGATTCTCTCTACTGTTAGAATGAGTCTTCTGTTATCTATAGTTATAGAAAGAGATTTCACTTAGTAAATTTATCTCTTCTGTCCCTAGGGCATGTGTTGGCTGTGTTGAATTAGGAATCAGTATAATAGAACACTGAAACATAGGTTAATACAAATCTCACTGAATATTTTTGAGAAAAATTCTGCTGCTTTCTTAGTGATAGCATTTGAATTAGGATGAATAATTGGATGTATGTTTGGGGCTACTCTGCATTTAGTCTGTTCTTGGATCCACATGTACAGGCTTTAGCATTACAGGTGCAGGACTTTATTGGACACCACTTTTATTCTTAGCATTCTCTAGAAGTCACATGTTAAGATTGTTGCCAAATACACCATATTCTACAAATTAAAGTTGATTTTTGAATGTTTGCATGGTCTTAGTTTTCTAGCATAAGCAACTGATTAAAGTGGAAACAGACGATTAGAAAAGTCATGGGATAAACAATGTTGTTTTTCTCCAACAAAAGTGAGGTTTGGTGTGAAGAAGATGTCCTCGTGAAAGCTTCCAGTTACACTGTTATACTGTTACCCCACCCTTTACTTTTCTCTAAGTCTTATTTGTGTCTTGGTCTCATTATTTTCACCTACGCCATTTTACTAGTCTCCCAACAAAACTCTACAATTGAATGCCTGTCACCCTACTGTATGTTCATTACAGGGTTAAACCTTCCAAAAATTATATGTTGTAGCTATCACTCCTCAGCTTAGAAAGAGTCAGAATAAAATCCTCAATATGGCTTCTTAAATATTCCTTTGTTGCCATCATGGTTATACAATTTAGACTCTCCATTCCTGTGAGATCATACAAGGTATGCTAAATGTGTTATTGCTGCTTCTCTACCCAGTAACTTTGCTAGAAATGTGTTCATTATTCCACTTATGCAAATGCTGCCTTAGCTACTGTAATGTCATTTTCCTACACAAAGCCTTTCACAGCCATCACAAAACAAAGAAATTCCTCTCTCCTAAAGCTCCATCACATTGATTATATGTACTATAATTTACGTGTTACTCTGTGGTCTGAGAGTCCCTCTACCACTGCACTTAACACAGTCTTAGAAAAGTGTCGGCTTAGTCTTGTTTTTATTGTTGTCATTGCCATCATGGTTTTGTCTTTCCATTGGTCAAGAGCTCCTTGATAACTTATCAGAGTTATTCATTAATTAAATTGAGCAAACTATTTTCATACATTTATGTATACTGTTAACTTTGTATGTAATTTCCATGTCTTAAGTAACTTAATGTCTTTAAGTCTTCAACTCCTCATTTATAGACTATAAACATTTTAACAATAGAGATCACATTTTATGCCTTCTAGGATCCCAGTACCTCAAGTGATATCTTACAAACCTTACAAGAAAATTAATGTTTGCCTAATGAATTGATTTTAATGTAAGGATATAATGATTCTTTTCCATCTTTATTAAAAAAGCAGAAACTAATTGAGTTCTATGTTTTTCCCTAAAAATGTTAGAATCATAAGAAAACGACATATTTTCCTCAATAAGTGAATAGAACACAGGATTATAATGTACAATATTAAAATACATATATAAATAAATTTACTTTTTTCTCATTTAATAGACCACTCTCTCCCCTTTCCCTTTGTATTTTGAGACACTGGAAAAAGTAAAAAAAAAAAAAAAATAAGGTACTTTTACCCTTGCTACTAAACTATCCAACTAGAGCCAGATTCTCACTTTGATATCATTTTCTTTGTCAACAGTTGATATTTACAGACTTTCTTTCTTTTTAAATTATAGCTCCTCCACAGTTTGTGGTTAGGCCAAGGGATCAGATTGTTGCTCAAGGTCGAACAGTGACATTTCCTTGTGAGACGAAGGGAAACCCACAGCCAGCTGTTTTTTGGCAGAAGGAAGGCAGCCAGGTGAGTGTGAGGCTCCATGTTTCTCTGCTATCTGTGAACTACCATCTATTCTGGTGACCCTCAAAGCTTTCCTTGCCTGTATTGCTATCAATTTTGAGCTTACTGTATTGTGAAAAAAGAGGCAAGTGATTCTTCTATAAATAAATGGCAGATTTGTTTTAGTACAGATCTTTTTACTTGCTGGGTTAAACTTTTAAAATTCTGTATCTTACATAAAAAGGACAGAAAGCAATGGAAAAAATAACTTTAAAATTCCAATCAAAACCTCTGTAGTTATTTAAAATTTCTAAAGATAAAAGTCATTTTCATTTTTTCTCAGCAGAAGAATTTCTTGGGGACTAATGGAAATTATTTTGTTTTTTGGTTTCTGTTTTTGTTTTTTATGATATTGGGGATTAAACCTAGGCCCTGTGCATGCTAGACAAGTGCCTTGCCACTGAGCTAAATTTCAACACCAAAATGTTTTGTGGTATATGTAAATGGTAGAAGACTATTCAGCATAAAGTATAATGAAATAATGATATTTACAGGAAAATGGCTGAAACTCAAGATGATGTTGTGTGAAACAAGTCAGATAGAGGAAGTTAAATATTGCTTCTTGGGCGGGAGGCTTAGCTCAATGGTTCCAGTGCCTGCCTCGCAAGCACAAGGTCCCAGAGTTAGATCCCCAGTACAAAAAAAAAAAAAAATTAT